GTGGCTTTGACACCCTTGTGCTCTTTTCTGCAAGTCGCTAACCCATCCCCCGTATCTGCAGAGGTCGACCTCAACGATAGCACAACGCTTTCGTACTACTCGCAGCTTCTCCTCTTCAAGGAAGATACGGCGCGTGATACCCTCGTGTTCCCGTCCAACCTTTCTCCTGTCCAGCGCCGCACCGTTCATACACTTGCTCACAACATGGGCCTAGGCCATGCGTCTCGGGGATCAGGTGATCAGCGGCAGGTGCATGTTTTCAAGGTCGCTCCTGGCACCAATGTTAGCCCTCCCTTGTCGTCCATCCCTGCCGCTGTCCAACCGGCGGAGACAGCGCGCCGTGGACTGAACCGCGCCGCAACCATTGATTTCAGTGAGTCTCGCAACGACGGACCCACTCATTTTAACACTTTGCGCGGTCAGCCTTCTGCTGGCTTCCTGGGAGTCTTGGACTCCCCTGGCAACTTTGGCAACACGCAGAACCTTCGAGCCGCCAAGTCGTTTGCAGACCTACGCTCCTACACGCCATCCCCCGTCCCCTCTTCTGCCAGCTTCCCTGCAGCGCTGCAGTCTAACGGAGCGCGCCTGCAACATTACGATGGTGCCACGAGCGGCACTTCCAACACCCCTACGCTTACGTCCGCGCCATCCGGTTCCTCCCTCGGTATGCAGCGCGACGACAGTCTGTTGGTGAACAGCCTTAGTAGCCTCTCTCTGGGCACTGGAATTGGTGGGCCGAATGCGAGCCCGAGGAGATTGCGGGGTATGTTCTCTTGGGAGCAGCCAGAAAGTCAGCCCTCTAGCGCTGGTCCCATCGGTAGTAACCGATCCATCGGAGTTGGATTTGACGGTCAGTCACAGGAGCGCATGCCCATTAGGCAGCCGAGAGGCCCGATGCCCGAGAAAGGTCCAGGATTCCGACGCCCGAACGGACACCAATCGCGCGGAAGCGACGAGTTACGCACCAGCTCTGGTGTAGAGATTATTGTGGAGTAAACACTTTGATGGGAAGACGAAGACGACGAAACTTGTTAGATTGCTTTGCCGCAAGATGCATACGACTCTTATATCACGAGGCCTGATCCTGTTCTGCGATTATTGGCTTACGATTCGATGAGGGATGACGAGATGACACTCAACCGAGAGAACCAAAAGAATATTTCTCTGATCTAGCCAAGTTTAGACGTTATTTTGGGGCAGCCCAGCAGGCACGCTGTTTGAACGCAACCTTTTTATGCTTTTCTCCTTGTTTCGCGGAAAATAAAGACCTCCCCAAAAAGAAAGCTGTGGACTATTTGAGACGCGGGCGCCTTGCATGCAGGAACATTTTTATTATCTATACTTTTTTTTTTTTCATTTTACTCTTACTTTTTACCTTCTACAAATTGTGTCGGCGGAAAGCAATATAAAACCAATCATCAACACCTGGATGGCTACGAAGGACGACAACAAAACGGGATTCGGATGTCTTTGTGTGCCCATGGCAAGAGAAATGACTCACCAGCATTTGCATTTAACCTTTTACTTATCTCCTTCTATCTACTTGTTTGTCACTTTGTATATGGGGCAATTTGCATCATTTAATGTTTTTATTTCTCTGTCAGACGTGTCCAATGTGCTTTTGTTCTCTCATCTCCTCTAATCGTGTTTTTTATGGAGCCCCTGTGATAGTGGGAGTGGAGGAATTGACGGAACGTTGTCGGCATACCACATCGTATGCAATGTGACTGTTGCCGAGGACGGGCCATTCATTCTCTTTACAATTTTTCAATTCCCTGACCTGCAGGTGTAATTCAAAAAAACTTGATGACTTGCATGGCGTGCGTTAGGGGAGATACAGTGGCGAATCGAATGGGCGGATATTTGCATTCTTTGCAGCTTCTTGGAGGGGGAGAGTTTTGCCTGTGGGTATTTTTCTAGGGATGAGAATGCCCGGGCAACTATCTAGGTGGACAAATGACAACTCTTGCAATATTGTCCGACTTGATGACGTCTCGTGATTTATCCCTTTTCCCGACGGCGGTCTGGCCGGATTATATTTCCCTTGCCATTAGGTGGGCTCATCACCCTCTTCCCTTATCTACCTTGCCATTCAGATCGCCATACCTCCCTTCCACTTACTAGCTGTTGTTTTTCTGTATTTATATATATTGTTGACTCTCTCCATTCCCTTTTCTCTCCTTCAGACCCTCACAGAGCTTGATTGATCAGTTCAGTTGTTGTTTTCATCATGGTCGCTTCGGGACTTACTAGACTGTAGTATAGCATAGTTATAGTACTAGGTATAGAGACGTCATTCATTCACTTCCAATGCTCAATCGCATCCGTGTTTCGGTTCACTTAGTAGTAGTTCTACTACTAGTGACAAGTAGCGTTTCAATATATGTATGTAGATCACTCTGAAACTACTTATCAACTCAACTAGTACTAACGCGAAGTGTTGGATATGATATCAGGCGTGAATATATACGTACTATGATAGTACTAGTAGTCATTTCATACAAGCTGGTTCAAGTATTCATTCAGTTACTAAGGTAGTTAGGATCTACTCACACCATACACATGTAGTACGACTCCTGTTATATCACACCCACCCATTTCTTTTTGAGTATCAGCAGGGTAGGAATGAATGAATGGGTCAGTCACATAGAAGGAAGAAAAGAAGAAAATAGAAGGCGGTGAATAAGGTAGACTCGTACAGACCCGTTGATTTTAGAGAAAATAGAGAGTACAGGAATAAAGGGGGTAAAAATGTAAAGAAAAGAAAGGTCATGGAAAATAAATAAATAAATAATAACTTTCCCACTACCGAAACATATCCCCTTTTTCCCATTACAGCGCCCTTGGAAAATTTGACATGAAACACGGAATACACACAAAAGACATCAAGCTGTCAGGGGAGATAAAATAATAATAGTAAAATAAAAGATGGGGGGAAGCAAGGAAGAACTTGGAAAATAATCATCTCGAGCTTCGTAGCGTCACGAGAATAAAAGGTGGGCTTTTTTGTTCGTCAGAAGGACGTGACCTGATTTCCTTGCCTCCCTGTTCGGGCGTAATTTTGCAGAGGGGGTGGAAGTAGCATCATGATCACAATAAAGAACCCGTTCCTAGCTTTTTTTTCCCTTTAACGATCATTCAATCACCAAACGCCGGAGTTCGTCGGGTATCCACCATCATTTAAGCCTCGGTCTTGCTCTTCTTCTTTTGCTCCACCTTCAGCAGGAGCGCGCGGTTGATGCGCGGCAGAACACCTCCGAAGGCAATAGTGGCGCGGATCAGGGTATCCAACTCCTCATCACCACGGATGGCGAGCTGCAGATGACGCGGGGTGATACGCTTGACTTTGAGATCCTTGGCAGCGTTTCCGGCCAATTCGAGGACTTCCGCAGTCAGATATTCGAGAACAGCGGTGACATACACGGCGGCTGCGATCGGGATTTGTCAGCATGGCTGAAAGAGAATACAAAGGAAGGTGCGCCTTCTGTAGGCCTGGATAAAAGGGTCGTACCTTTGGCGCCAACGCGCATCTTGTTCTGGGTGTTGTTCTTCAAAAAGCGCTTAACACGACCGCAAGGGAACTGTGATTGAAGGATACTGTCAGCGACCGGGACTGATGATAGTAGATAGGCATGAATGTGTGAAGTGAAGCTTTGATGTGAAGGTGGATACGGGAGGGATCGTGACCGCCACCCCTCTCAACCAGTCGCCCGAACCGCGACAAGCCGGTGCGATATAGCTCTTAAAGGGATTATGTTCGATATAAGAAAGCTATACGCGTGCTTTTGCGAACATAAAGGCGATCGCGAGGGGCAAAGGAGGCAAAAAGCAAAATCCCACGCCATAACGGTTTCAGTGGTATGTCGCCGCCAGACGCCATGGGATGGATCAAATGTCATATGCCTGCAGGGAGAAAAAAAGGACGAATACGGACCTGCAGACCAGCCTTTGCGCTGTGGGACTTCTGGCTCTTCCCCGCAGAGTCCTTGGAGCCGGCCTTTCCACCGATAGACTTTCCCTTTCCACCAGGCATTTTGCAAAAGCGTCGAGATTTGGGGCCGCAGGGGCGAAAATGTCGCGTCAGTCGAGTATTGGAAGTGGTAGAACGTGATGGTGGATGTTGGTGCGATCCGATGCAGCACAAGCACGCGCGTTGTTGATGGATGAAGGAGTCAGAAATGTCAGAGCCATCCTGGTCGCTAAAGACGGGCGTCGACCGTCGAGTGGCGCTAGTCCGTTTTGGGAAACCTGCTCAGCTTCCATCCACGGAGATGTCATAACGGGCGAGGTGGTTGTTGGTCGCCGTTGCAAAGGCAGCGATGTACAAGCTTCAAGTCCTTGTATCTTGTCATAATCCCGAGAAAGACTTTCAGCCAAAGCACCGATGGCCTCGCTTTATCGGGCGCATGGAGCTGGGGCTGAGCGTCCACGCCATTGCTGGGTAGAGTCACTCAGTAGTCGAATCCCCAAATCCCAGACATACCACACTTGTGAGCAAATATAATTGCATCAATATACTTGCACCAGTGGGCCTAATCGGCGGAGAGAGGACATAGAGACTCTTAAACCGTAACGTGGGGAGTTTGCACACGTTCGTAGCGATATAACAGAGGTTGGCAGGAGAGTGTGCAGACCATGATAGTTGCTCAGCGGATTATCTAAGCAACCAGGTGATCTGTGCCTTTTGCCTTGTCCGGGGGACTTTATGCCTCAGGCTGCAGTAGACCTTGAACCGCCGAATCAGGTAATAAACCTGCTTATCACTTGCTTATCGCCGCTATCTTCCCTCACGCCTTACACTGATACGGCTAAGCCAAGAGAGGTCAAGAGCAAGCACGTGATCCTCACTATCTGGACAGCTGTCCGACTTCCCCGGGGCTCCAGTTCCGCAGTTCGAAGTTTCTGTCCTTGCGCACGCGTTCCCCATCCTCCCCAGTTTCACATCATCGTGTGCTGCTCCTCACTTCTCAAGGCTCCCCAGTCCCAGTACTACCGGCAAGATGGTGTCTCCTCAAGTGTAAGTGATTCCTGCGTTATTCTGCACGCGACTCAAACGACCATGGTCTGCCATGTCGTGATGCTACTCGGGGAATAATACTGACATGTCGCCTGTCTTGCAGTACCAACCTGGCCATCATCGTGGTGATGATGCAGCTGGCGAAGAAGGTTCCCTTCGAGGACCCCGATGTCCTTATGCTGGTCCGTGGCATGTACATCCTGTCCAACGTGATCATTCTGGGAGTGTATCTGTACACTCAGTCGAAGATCAACAAAAAGAATGGTATGCTTTCTATTCAGTCTTCATTAAGCTACAGTCCTCTAATACTCTATGATCAGATCTGACTACCCTGAAATACGTGGAGCCTTCTCCTATGGGTAGCGGCGAGGAGCCCAAGCCGGTCACCACTACCAACATGGAGTACGACAAGGGACAGCTGCGCCAGCTGATGAGGAGCCAGCTGATGGGCGTGGGTATGATGGGTGTGATGCACCTTTACTTCAAGTACACCAACCCTCTCCTGATCCAGTCCATCATCCCCCTCAAGGGTGCCTTCGAGTCGAACCTGGTCAAGATCCACGTCTTCGGCAAGCCTGCCACCGGTGACCTCCAGCGCCCCTTCAAGGCCAACAACAGCTTCCTGAACCAGGGCCAGATCAAGAGCGACAAGGCCTCCGTTGAGAACGCGGAGAAGAACTGGAGGGGTGGTGTCAAGGAGGAGTAAGGTGACAGATTCTGGGGAAGGAGCGCGAGAGATATTGCTAGGCCTTGCCTCCTGTGTATTTATAGATGTGGTTTCAATGGAGTGAGCGCGAATTCACCTTGGATTTGCGCATTTCTGGCTTCACACTGGCTTTCTTGGCTGCTGTGATGGGAGACTTTTATGACTATGCATGTTGTCGATATCATTCGCAATGACCGCTTACTATCAATATAATAGAACCACGTCAGTGGTGACCTCACGTCCTATATTCTCCCATGCCGCAGCATGAGTCAGGGGGCAAATAGATCATTAGAAATCCTTGATCGCTATGGCTTCCCAACCAGGTAGGAGCGGAAACGATGATGAGTGGCGAAGTACCTGCCGATGCTTTGTTGTCTCACGGCTTGCGTCTCCTGACATACCAACATCGGTGGCCGGTGAAGACAATGAAGGCATTTCTAAGCAATACGGGCTGTGGCCACACGGTGTCACTTGCTCGAAGTAACCTGGTGCATTTACCCCATGTAAGGCTGGAGGCTGGATGGGGCCACTTTTCAGCAATATGTAGAAAGTACTAGAACCATCTCCCGGTCTCCGCGACCCTGGACATTGACACGCCAGCATGATCATGAAACCCGAGTCAAACCAGAGCCGTTTGGAGTTGTGCTACACTCCCAAGTCATGAATGTCGCCAATTGAATAAATCCGAGCACACCGATGTGGCGTGCAATTATACTTAGTATGTAGGGACAAACCTTGGTGCGCGGCCTTTAGGCGGCCATAGATAGTTATGCTACGGTACCACTGATGTTATTGTACCGAAAAGAAAGAAAAGTCCCAGCCAGTTAATTCCCAAATCAAAGCCACATGCATCCGTTATCATGCATCTGACATATCGGATTCGTCCATTTGGTTGGAGTATTTGAAAGAGGCCAGAGCATCACCGACATGGGTACCCTCAGCAATAATATGTATGCATTATGCCCCCCCATGGATCCGTAGCTTTCAAGCAATTAGACGCGCGCCCGGCCGAATGAGATGAACCGTTGGAGCCATCATCCCACTCATCCCGCTCCAAAAAGGAGAGGAAAAAAAAATATGACCAAGCGCGTGATGACCGGTGAGGACTCCGGTGAATTGATTTGGGTGACGGGAGAGACCCAAGAGGGGCCAGAATACTAAGAATGGGGAAGGAGAAGGTACCGCCTTTGGGGTCCAGCCACGCGACTCCAACATGGAGGGGTACTGGACTAACGTTATTCCATCACCGGGATCACGGGCCGAAAGCGGCAAGGCCGGCACTGCCCCTCTTTTTGGGTTGGAAGAGTAGTAGTTAGCAGTATTATTTTCTGGAGTGAATAATAATAATAATAACAACTGACTACCTAGTAAATACTACTATGGTATATGACTCTATGGATGGGCCGATTCTATTACATCATCTCATCCCGTCCAATTCCTCGCCTCCGCGGCAGTCTACGGGTAGGATCGTAACAAAAACCCGGGGGATAGACCCGTTGTCCCGAGCTGGAGTTCCGTATAACCTAGGTAGTAGGTATCAATTGAACCCGACGAACTGGCAAAATATTCTCGAGAATCGAGATAGTGAAGGGTGAGTACCCGGTGTGATGGAGGTGGGACACGCTCATTGGTCGGTACGGCAGCTGCCGAGGGGGAGCAGGAGATCCAAATATCGTGAGTCTCCTGCTTTGCCCGGTGTATGAAACCGGAAAGGGCTGCTGGGGAACTGGGGAGCGGCGCAAGCCGGGAATCCCAGCTGACAATTGACCCATCTTCATGCCGTGGCAGAGCTCAGGTAGCTTTTGCCCCGTCTGTCTCCCCGGTGTGCGCATTCGACTGGGCGCGGCATCTGTACCTCCTCCAGGAGCGGAGGACCCAGCAGAAGGCCTGATCTGGTCGTTGCGTCAGTCCTGAGGTTCCCTCCCCCTCTACCCTTTTTCTACTTCCCCTCCCCCACCGCTGAACTTTTCCTTCCTCCCTTTTACTTTCTCTCTTCTTCTTCTTCATCCATCCTCTCCTCATCACATCTGTCCTCTTTCCATCCAATTCATCTTCAAGTGAGTCTTCCTCCCATCTCTCTGGCTTTGCATCTTTCACATCATCTCCCTCTCTGCCAGCTTCCCCTCCTCTCATTACATCACGAAGCTTTGACTGACCTATTACCCCGCCGAACAGACACATCTACACAATGGCTCCCAAGGTACGCCAACGACTTGCCAGGCGTGGTTCAGCTATCTACCAGCCTGATGATCTTGTATACTCACATCAATCCCATTTAGGTCGGTATCAACGGCTTCGGTCGTATCGGACGTATCGTAAGTTGCTCTTCCCTCATTATTGCTTCCGGGTGGTAGAGACTAACATGAGTATACAGGTCTTCCGTAACGCGTGAGTGCCGTCTTTCACCGTAACTCGATGCGCCCTATCTGGGACCCATGGAGTCTAATCGACATTGCGAGAACGTTATACTAACATGTTTGGCTGCACAGCATCAACCACGGCGAGGTTGACGTCGTTGCTGTCAACGACCCCTTCATCGAGACCCACTATGCTGTACGTTCCGCCTCATGCATTGTCTGCTATAGATCAACAAGAAGCAAGTGGCTAACGAGGTGAATCTGCAATAGGCCTACATGCTCAAGTACGACAGCACCCACGGCCAGTTCAAGGGCACCATCGAGACCTACGAGGAGGGTCTGATCGTCAACGGCAAGAAGATCCGCTTCTTCGCTGAGCGTGACCCCGCTGCCATCCCCTGGGGTACCACCGGCGCTGACTACATCGTCGAGTCCACTGGTGTTTTCACCACCCAGGAGAAGGCCGCCGCTCACTTGAAGGGTGGTGCCAAGAAGGTCGTCATCTCTGCTCCTTCCGCTGATGCCCCCATGTTCGTCATGGGTGTCAACAACACCTCCTACACCAAGGACATCAACGTCCTCTCCAACGCCTCTTGCACCACCAACTGCCTTGCTCCCCTCGCCAAGGTCATCAACGACAAGTTCGGCATCGTTGAGGGTCTCATGACCACTGTCCACTCCTACACCGCTACCCAGAAGGTCGTCGATGCCCCCTCCAGCAAGGACTGGCGTGGTGGCCGTACTGCGGCCCAGAACATCATCCCCTCCTCCACCGGTGCTGCCAAGGCTGTCGGCAAGGTCATCCCCACCCTTAACGGCAAGCTCACTGGTATGGCCATGCGTGTGCCCACCTCCAACGTCTCCGTTGTCGACTTGACCTGCCGCCTCGAGAAGGCCACCAGCTACGACGAGATCAAGAAGGCCCTCAAGGATGCTTCCGAGAACGAGCTCAAGGGTGAGTTTCTACGTTAAAATGACACCGTCTGGTTCGATAACTAATCCCGTCATAGGCATCCTCGGCTACACTGAGGACGACATCGTCTCCTCCGACCTGAACGGTGACGACCACTCCTCCATCTTCGATGCCAAGGCCGGTATCGCCCTTAACTCCAACTTCGTCAAGCTCGTCTCCTGGTACGACAACGAGTGGGGTTACTCCCGCCGTGTTGTCGACCTCATTGGTAAGGACATTCTATCCTCTGCTCAGATATCTGTGACAATTTACTAACCTTTTTTCTAGCCTACATCTCCAAGGTTGACTCCCAGTAGGAATCAGGACGGCAAGCTGAATTCAGAAGTGTGCTGTGAGTGAGACTGATTGCCGAGCGCAGACGACTCTCGCGGAACCCAGTGTGTGGGGAAGCTTGAGAAGGTCTTAACTCCTAGCGTAAAAGCTCATGATGACGTACAATTTAATGAAATGATACAATGTTCATATTTCACGTTCAAAATTCCGGCCTTGGTCAGTACGTAAGATGTCCACGACGGCATACTAATTTCGTAGGGAGAGACCTGGTAGCATTGGCAATGTAGTAGTTCTCAGCATGCACCGGTTGATAACGTCGGCCCCAGATGCAATGCTGCGGTGGTGACTAAGCTCTGCAGTGAATTGGACTGCGTATGCTTGATCGACTTCGGCGAGCCGCGGGGTTTTCTCGGCGTTTTCTAGCGGTGCAAGAATGATGATACCTCGGGCTTTTGGTCCATGCCACATCCCAGTCATTGCAGATTTTCGTCACCTCCTTCAAGAAACAAAACGAGCTCCATATCCCCTTCTTGAGTGTTCACTTGGTACTTTTGGGTGGACCGAGGGGTGTCCGCGGCCATCCAAGTCACGTGGAGGGCAGCTCGACCACGGATTTTAGAGCTACATTGATCCAAGACTCCTGGACCAGATCTCCTATGCTGGTGTGCGCGTTGCGGTGACTACCGTACCAACAGCCACCCGTGGCCCTTTTAGACTTGGCCTCAAGTTGTATTTTGCGACGCTTTCACTTTCTTCTGATACGGCCTGGTCCTCCTTGCATTGGTCGTTGTCGCGGCTGAGCCTCTGAGCTTCGGACCTAGTACTATCTACTAGTTCCCTTGTTTTGTGCTCTCTCAACTCTCCATACAGCGACCTCGGTTCTGCTTGTGTGCTGGTTCGCAAGGCTCCAACCCCGACCAACTTAGTCTAATCTCTTATTTATCTCTCACTTGTCTGCCACCTGTGCCTTGGGTCATCTGCATTCGTCGTATTCCCGGTGTTACTTTTGAGCGGAACTCCACCGTCTAGTGAACATTATCTGATTCTAATCTGCACATTTGACCATGACATTTGCGCACTGGTAAATCATCAGTCAGGAAGAAACTAGGCGCTCTCACACATCCAATATCCATGGCAATGGATGAGGACGAAGACACCGTCATGGGAGAGGCAGGCTCCCACCACCCCACCTCTGTTTCTTCACATCAATGGCCAAGCAATGGGCCCAGCAGCCAGGGTGCTGGCCAGCTCAATGGTAGCTCGGATCCATCTATTGCACCGCCATTGCTGGGTCCGACCATGAAGCTGCCGTTGTCTGTACACTCGGGAGACCCGAGGCCTGAGAACACAGCATCGGCAGAAGATCAGGGAGTATCGCCACCCAAAAGCCTGCCCAAGTCAGACTCTGGCGACGCCACTACTGAAGACTTTGACAAGCAAGATAGTCTTGTCGAGGACAACTCGGATTGGTCTGATGAGGATACTGTAGCCCGCACTGGGCTTCCCATCGCCTCACTGCCTTCTGGGTTATGTTACGACGTTCAGATGCGTTATCACTGTGAAGTGCGGCCAACAGCGGACGTTCATCCAGAGGATCCGCGACGCATCTACTACATTTACAAGGAACTTTGTCGAGCGGGACTAGTCGATGATCCCGAATCGTGCCGTCCGCTTGTCTCACGACCGCTGAAGCGCATCAATGCTCGCAATGCTACTGAAGCGGAGATCTCGCTGATTCATACGCCTGACCATTTTGCATTCGTAGAAAGCACCAAAGGTAGACCTATGTTCATTGTCTTTCAGGTTCTGGTTCATGTTCTGGTTCTCTAACGGTTAACAGACATGTCTGATGATGAGCTCATTGCATTGGAACACACACGTGACTCAATATACTTTAATAAATTGACGTTTGCATCATCAATTCTGTCAGTTGGAGGCGCGATTGAGACATGCTTGGCTGTTGCAACCCGGAAGGTCAAGAATGCCATTGCGGTGATCCGGCCTCCGGGGCATCATGCCGAGCACGACAAAACTATGGGATTTTGTCTGTTCAATAATGTCTCCGTAGCAGCCCGTGTTTGTCAGAATCGACTGGGTGATAGCTGCAGAAAGATTTTGATTCTCGACTGGTATGCTTAGCCCTTTTCACTTCAATCTGCGGAGATACTGACCGACTAGGGACGTGCATCACGGTAATTAGGGGCTCATATTACGCATGGAATGAAAGCATCTGACTCACTCTTCTAGGAAATGGTATTCAAAAAGCTTTCTATGATGACCCTAATATCCTATACATCTCACTCCATGTGTATCAGGATGGGAAATTCTATCCTGGAGGAGAAGAAGGTGACTGGGATCACTGTGGCGAAGGCCCGGGTGTTGGAAGGTAGGCTGCTAGATTTCTGTTATGCGAAAGCTTGTCTGACATCTTCAGAAACGTGAATATACCCTGGCCGAGCCAAGGAATGGGCGATGGTGACTATATGTATGCTTTTCAACAAGTTGTCATGCCAATTGCTCATGAGTTCAACCCGGACCTTGTCATCGGTACGTAAGGACTCGAGTAGTGGGTGTGTATCTCTAACATGGATCAGTTGCCTCTGGGTTTGATGCGGCTGCAGGCGACGAGCTTGGTGGATGTTTCGTTACACCTTCGTGCTACGCTCACATGACACACATGCTCATGACGCTTGCCAATGGCAAGGTTGCTGTTTGTCTCGAGGTATGCGCACACAGAGGTTGTTGAGATTTGTAGGCTAACCAAATGATAGGGTGGTTATAACTTCAGGTCGATTTCCAAGTCAGCACTCGCTGTCACAAAGACGCTGATGGGAGACCCGCCGGACCGACTTCATACCACTTCACCTTCAGCTCTGGCCACCACAACTGTACGGCGTGTGATGATGATCCAGTCGCATTACTGGCACTGCATGTACCCTAAAGGGCCTCCTCAGGATGGGCTCTTCACCGATAGGCTTCATGGTAAGATCCCGCACCCCTTACCCGGCAATGCTAACTTCTACAGATGTTATACGCGCTTACCAGTCAAAACAACTTTACGACAACTACAAGCTCACATCTCTCTTCATATATCGTACTGCCATCTCCCGGTCTTTCGAAAATCAGGTTCTAGCAAGGTAAGTAGAACCACAACGCGTTTGGCTCTGCTAACTCCATGCAGCCCCAACTATCACCAAGCCGTGCCACTTATAGTGATATTTCATGATCCGTGAGTTCGCTGCCGATGAATTGTCGGCAAATCAAGCGTTTAATTAACCATACGCAGTCCTGAGATCATGGGTTTGCCCCATCCGGTCACCAACAAGTTGGAAGCCCATAACTGCTGGCTGGTATGTGTCTGCGCCATAATAATGCACATGTGCTGACAGTAGTAGGCTGATGTCATGAAGGAATACATTGGGTGGACTGTGAGCAAGGGGTATGCAGTCATCGATGTTAATATCCCTAAGCATGTGACGATCGATCCTGTAAGCTCGGTGACTATATCAGCTGTTGAATGAGTACTGATCCATACAGTCATCCGGTAAATATGAGGAAGAAGACGAAAATCGGCCCACGGCTACTGAGGAATTGGCGGGCTACCTGTGGGATAACTATATCGAGTTAGTGATGCCGGGATTATCAACAGGCAGCCTGAAACTGACAATCGCAGACCGAGCGAGGCCACCGAAATCTTCTTCATGGGCGTAGGCAATGCTTTCTACGGAGTAGCCAACCTACTGATCAACCGAGGTGAGTTATCTTCCTCAAAAAGGGAGGCAGCAGCTGACGTGTGAACAGAAACATTGTATAAGCGAGTGAACAGCGTTGTTTCCTTCGTTGCCGAGAACCCGGTTCGCGCCATAGCCTCCCACACCCAGGTCTGGCTGTCGCGGTGGTACAAAGATGTAAGCCGACCGGCCCCTTCAAATCCTGTGATTCCATACTCACATCCGCTAGAACTCCCTTGTCTTCGTCTCGCACACGCACGGCGTCTGGAACAACGTGGAGACTCGGCGCAAGCCATCCAAGCGCTACGGCCAGCTCGTCCAATCGCCCAAAGCCAGTCTGAGTGAGATGCTCATGCACCACAAAGAGGAGGTATACCAATGGATCTCCGAGCGTGCGGACGTGCAAGATAGCGAGGAGACGGAGGATGAGAAGAAGCCCAAGTCGAAGAGCCGGTCCCCGACGAAAGAGAACCAAGCGGAGCCCCGTTCGGTGCCGAGCTAAGCGAGGTCTTAAGTCGAGTGCGCGCTGTAATTTTGTTTGTGTTGGATCTATGCATAGGTGGGAAGTTCGGTTGTGTCTTGGATGACCATTGCAATTGTACCTAGTAGAGATGCAGGGTACTGGTTGAGCATACTTCATGATAAGGCATTCCGCTGTCGTTGTTCACATATCCCACACTAATTAAAGGGTAGCCCTATAACTGAATTTGTTAGTGTGCCGGGCAGGAAGAACAGTTCTTCATCCCATCCATTGTAGTCCAGGCTGCCGCATAGCACCATAACCACATCCATGCAAACCCCTCATACAACAAGAGATTCGACCCACGCAAGGCCTCCCATCAATATATTAATCTATCTCGCCTACAAAACAATGCTATCTCACCCCACTAACCAGAATCCACTGCAATACGAGCAACCTGCAGACACACCCGCTGACTACTTAATCTCCTGCCAAGGAAACCCCATCCGATCATCCGAATCTCCGCAACCGAACTGAGACATACATGAGTAGTTCATCCATGACTCCTCCACAGCCGAATCTCATGATTGGATCGTGATACCTATTATGACTTACATCCGACATCACGCTGCTTATGTGCTTACTTATGCACCTGACCATGACATACACAATAGTAAAGTTAACCATAAGTATTTATCTCACTCATAATGTAACTCTAATGTCTCACGCACGAACCCCGCGGGGTAAGCCGCACTGCAATATTTCCTATATTTGCATATGTACGGATCGGACGGGACTGAACTGAGCCTCTTGCACAATATATCTTGGAATAGGATGATTGTATGGCTAGTCTATGGGACGCCTGAATATAAGCGGTGTGATGGAATAATCCATTGGTTGGGTTTTAGTCGGGGTCAGTTGATTCATCGAGTGTTCTCTTCGCTTCGGTTCGATTGATTGGAATAGAAGTGGGTGTTATTTTGGGGTGGTACTATATGCTGCTAATGCATCTGGTGGACTGCTAATGTACTTGGCGATGGAGATGGAGAGGAGATGTGAGACATTATGACCTATGCCTATGCCTATGCCTTTGTTCATGATGAGTGGGATGATTGTGTTTGCTATGATGTAGTTGCTATTATTCTCTTCTCTTCATGAATACAAGTAGCTATGTCTACAGAGCAGGAAATAAATAGATATATAAACCACCCTTCCTCCCTTCATCCAAGTCCTATCCATCCAACCAACAATCCACACAACAACACCTCCCATCAAACCCACTCAAACCACTCTACCAAAATGCATCTCACCACCAAAACCCTCCTCTCCCTCCTCCCCCTCCTCCCCCTAACCACCGCCACTGGCTCCGCCATCGTGCAAAACAACTGCACCTCCCCGATCTACCTCTGGTCCGTGGGCGGCTCCGTCAGCAGCATGCAAACCATCGACCCGGGCTCCAGCTACAGCGAGACCTTCTACTACGATACGACCTCTGGTGGTGTTGCTTTGAAGATCACCACCACAGAGAACGGTCTGTACAGCGGCGCTCCGCAGACGGATTACGCCTACACTTTGGATACGTCCTCCGGTAACGTGTTTTATGATATCTCGGATGTCTATGGCGATCCGTTCTCGGGTAGTGTGGTTAGTCTCGTCTCGAGTGATGCTAGCTGCCCGAGTATTTGTTGGGCTGGGGGTGTGCCCCCTGCTGGAAGTGTTGTGAGGAGTTGTCAGGATGAGGCGGATGAGGTCTTGACGGTTTGTGCGGATAGTTGTTAGAGTTGGGTGGATTGTTGTATTGGGGGTTAGAGTGGGAAGTCAAGGGTTAGGGATTATTGGGGTATTTGGGGGTTTAATGTGATGTTGTTATTTGTGTTGACTTGGGGATTGATTGATTGATTGATTGATTAATTGATTGTGGGATGTCTGGAGGAGTGTGTGTTGGTATGTCATTAGCTAAATTTAATGATTGTATGCCATGTCATGATCACGGGAATTTGGTATAGAGTAGGGCAAGCTTATACTAAATCACTGCATAGTAGTAGTTTGTTTCACTGGAATCAATTCCTGCGTTTGGTATATATATATTAAAATATGAAGTAGTGAATATACGGTCTAGCTCTCAGTGAAGCATGCCTGTATGAGAGCCAATCAGTGTGCTGATGACGATATGGTAGGGCAAGATGGCTAATTTACTACAGGTATCCTCGCGTATTTGTTAATGTTTTTGTAGTTGCTGCATGCATCTATTTATATAGTGAACAGGTGTTCGCCGTAGTCGACTAGATATACTCGATAAGAGGAAACAATGGAATTGAGGTGAAGATACTAGACAATTACCATTGAGCAACACGTAGAAGAGATAATCTTAGTTCATGGGAAAATTGTTATTACTTCGAGATTGAATCCTTAGACTCATGAATTTGAATGTGGACTGATGATTGAAATCTGCACTAGCAATGAAGATATCCAGCTGCGGAGTTGCCGAGGTATATATAGAAGCAGTAGTACTAGTGACACTAATAGTCCCCGAGTGAAAGGCCAGCTACTAGGAGTTGGCGTTGCAATTCAACAAAGAAGCAGAATATCTTTAGAGATCAAACTCACATCACAGTAGTAAAAGAGTAACCAATTCACTAGCAAAGACAATATGCAATGAAGTACTATCCCACGTTGACCGCCTTATCGCGGGGCTTCACCGCCTAGTAAGCCCCAAGCCATGCATTGTGCATCGCCTCCCGCCGAGGAACCCACCGACAAGTCACTCTCCCTCCTTCGTGCCACAAGATATACTTCGACCATTGACCCCGGTAATTGCCTCGCTTGCCCTTCACCTCTTCCTACGTGGCGTTCTGCTAACCCCATTTGCTCTGTTTAGTTCTCAAACTGCTAATTTCAAATACGGGACTTCCCTTACCCCTTTCACTTTCCACGCCGGCAACTTTCCCAACACCGCCTGCGCCCCGAGCGGTGCTTCCCGGCAACCGATCCCTCCTTTCTCTGGATGCCTCCAAGGTCCCCTGCAACACGCCGCTTGTGGAACTCTCGAGTGCCTTTATATCTTCGCTCCCCAGCTTTTCGCGCCTTCTCTAAGTCAGGCGCCTCTGCGGCGATTGCCCCTCCTTCTATCTACCCCTCGCCACGCTTCCCCTCACCGAACGAGCGCTACTCCTCATCTCCTGCCCTGCGCTCGTCTCACGCCCTTGTCTCGCTTTCCCTCCCTTCTTGTGCTCGCCTCTTCTCTCATACCGCAACCATGGGATCTATCGAGCGCCTCGCTGAGCAGTTGGAGAAGCCCGAGCTCGATGATCGCTCCTATCGTGTCATTCGCCTGCCGAACAAACTAGAGGCTCTTCTCGTACATGATCCCGACACAGACAAGGCTAGTGCGGCCGTCAATGTCAATGTCGGCAACTTTTCAGACGCAGACGACATGCCGGGCATGGCGCATGCGGTAGAACATCTGCTTTTTATGGGAACGATGAAGGTAGGTGGTCACCCTCGGAATACGAGACCCCTTGTCCGTTTGGGCTTATGCGGAAACATGTTAACTCTGTGTAGTATCCCAAGGAGAATGCCTACAATCAGTACCTAGCATCCAACTCCGGTTCCTCCAACGCCTATACCGCAGCCACCGAGACGAACTATTTCTTTGAGGTCGGTGCCACCACGGCTTCTACTGACGACACACCTAACGGCGCCAATGGAACATCGAACGGCACAGACACCCCCGCAAAGCCGAACCACCCCACGTCTCCCCTGTATGGTGCTCTGGATCGCTTTGCGCAGTTCTTCGTAGAGCCCCTTTTCCTCGAGTCGACCTTGGACCGCGAGCTGCAGGCAGTAGATTCGGAAAATAAGAAGAACCTGCAGAGCGACCTGTGGCGGTTGATGCAATTGAACAAGAGTTTGTCCAACCCTGCCCACCCGTACCACCATTTCTCGACCGGGAACCTGCAGACTCTGAAAGAGGAGCCGCAAAAGCGGGGGCTGGAGGTCCGACAGGAGTTTATCAAATTCTACCAGGCGCACTATTCGTCCAACATCATGAAATTGGTGGTGTTGGGACGGGACTCTCTGGATGAAATGGAGCAGTGGGTGGGTGACTTGTTCAAGCATGTGAAGAACCAAGATCTTCCTCAGAACCGCTGGGACCACGTTCAACCTTGCCTACCGGAACATCTGGGCAAACAGATCTTCGCCAAACCAGTCATGGATATGCGCTCGCTCGACTTATACTTTCCCTTCATGGATGAAGAGTCGTTGTTCGAATCCCAACCAAGCCGTTATCTTAGCCACCTGATCGGCCATGAAGGTCCAGGCAGCATCCTGGCCTACATCAAAGCGAAGGGTTGGGCAAACGGCTTGTCCGCAGGTGTGATGCCTGTTTGCCCGGGCTCCGCCTTCTTCACCATCTCCGTTCGGCTGACTCCCGAGGGTCTGAAACAGTATCGCGAGGTCACCAAGGTGGTGTTTGAGTACATTGGTATGATCAAGGAGCGCGAGCCCCAGCAGTGGATCTTCGATGAAATGAAGAACCTGGCTGAAGTCGAGTTCCGTTTCAAGCAAAAGTCCCCGGCCAGTCGCTTCACTAGTCGCCTGAGCAGTGTGATGCAGAAGCCGTACCCCAGGGAATGGCTTCTCAGCGGCAACCTCCTGCGGAAGTTCGAACCCGAGCTGGTCAAGAAGGCGCTGTCGTACCTGCGACCCGATAACTTCAGAATGGTGATTGTTGCCCAGGATTACCCCGGTGACTGGAATTGCCGTGAGAAATGGTACGGAACTGAGTATAAGGTCGAAGATATTCCGGAAGACTTTATGGACAGCATCCGCAAGGCTGCGGAGACTTCTCCTGAGAGTAGACTGTCCGAGCTCCACATCCCACACAAGAACGAGTTCGTTCCTACCAGACTCACTGTGGAGAAGAAGGAGGTGTCTGAGCCGGCCAAGACCCCCAAGCTGATCCGTCATGATGACCATGTCCGATTGTGGTACAAGAAGGATGACCGTTTCTGGGTCCCCAAGGCGACTGTTCATGTCACCCTGAGGAATCCCTTGGCGTATGCTACCCCGGCGAACCTAGTCAAGACCAAGTTCTACTGCGAGCTGGTTCGCGACGCATTGAACGAGTACTCCTACGACGCTGAGCTTGCGGGTCTCGACTATTCGTTGTCTGCCAGCCTCTTCGGCCTTGATATCTCAGTTGGCGGATACAATGATAAGATGTCGGTTCTCCTTGAAAAGGTGCTTACCAGTATGCGGGATCTGGTCATCAAACCGGATCGTTTCAACATTATCAAAGAGCGTATGACTCGGAATTACAAGAACGCAGAGTACCAGCAACCGTTCTATCAGGTTGGCGACTACACGCGCTACTTGACTGCCGAACGGACGTGGCTCAACGAGCAGTATGCCGCTGAGCTGGTACACATCGAGGCAGAGGACGTTTCATGCTTCTTCCCTCAACTTCTCCGCCAGAATCACATCGAAGTCCTGGCCCACGGTAACTTGTACAAGGAGGATGCGCTGCGCATGACCGATTTGGTGGAGTCGACTCTTCAGAGCCGTGCGCTGCCCGAATCCCAGTGGCACGTTAGACGCAACATGATCCTTCCCCCGGGCGCCAACTATGTCTACGAGCGTGCCCTGAAGGATCCCGCCAACGTCAACCACTGCATTGAATACTACTTGTTCGTTGGAAAGCTTGACGACGATGCTCTGCGGGCCAAGCTGCTGCTGTTTGCTCAGATGACGGATGAGCCTGCCTTTGACCAACTGCGGAGCAAGGAGCAGCTTGGTTATGTCGTATGGAGTGGCGCCCGCTACTCTGCGACGACCATGGGTTACCGTGTGATCATTCAGAGTGAGCGCAATGCTGCTTATCTCGAGTCTCGCATCGACGCTTTCCTGACCGGTTTCGGGAAGAGTCTGGCGAATATGTCAGAGCAAGAGTTTGAGAGCCACAAGCGCAGTGTTATCAACAAGCGGCTGGAGAAGCTTAAGAACTTGAGCTCTGAGACCAATCGGTTCTGGTCCCATATCGGCTCGGAATACTTCGACTTCGTGCAGAACGAAAGTGATGCTGCGAATGTCCGGACGTTGACCAAGGCCGACCTCATCCAGTTCTACCAGCAATTCGTCTACCCCAAGTCCGCGACTCGGGCTAAGCTGGCGATTCACCTCAAAGCCCAGGCCGGTGCCCATGCGCACGCCACCAAGCCTGAGGAGCAGAAGGCCCAGGTCGTTTCGTTCCTCGGCAAGCAGTTGGAGGCGGCTGGCTTCGCTGTTGACCAGGAACGTCTGAGCACTGCTTTTGCGACCGTCGACGTGTCGGGCGGCGACGAGGCTCAAATTCTGGCCACTCTGAAGGCGTTCCTCGAATCTGGCATGAGTCTCTCCGAGCAGCAGACCAAGCCCGTCATCGCGCAGATCGAAAGCAGCCTGGGCTTGCAATTGAAGCAAGCGGGCATCGAGGCTAAGAAGAGTGATGGAACAGTCCAGCCAAATGGCACGAACGGTGACCTCCAGCAGTCTACCTACATCAACAATGTCCCCGAGTTCAAGGCTCGTCTGGCCGTCAGTGCTGGACCCAGCCCGGTAACCGATCTGAGCGAATTCGAAGACTTTGACGCCAAGCTTTAGACTTCATGATTGAGTTGGATGTTGGGGCGGAAGTCCGTCGCATTGATAGACATGATGTTGTATTGTTGGGTTTGCATAGTTGGCGTGGGCTTGTTGCATGGGAGGGATGGGGTTGTGTTTGGGGTTAGGTTGTGATTTGAGTTAGATTTACTCTGATAAATGAGAATAGAATCAGCAAGAATAAACATTATGATGATTCCACTATTACTCCTATGGAAGCTACACTGTAGACTTAAGACTAATAGACTCACACGGCGAGCATCGGGGCGGTCGAATGTTTTCGCGGGAGGGCCGCTCCGACGCCGAGCCCAGCTCCGCCATCATCGCCGATCCACCACCGAGAGCTCCAGCCGCTCTTGACTTCCTGGCTACGTATCCAGCATTCAACTCCTCCAGCCTGTTTACTCGCGGCGCATTGGCTTCCCCTGCGTTCACCATGTCGACCACCACCGCGACGGCGATCCAAAGCTCGCGCCCGTACGTCCTGCCACCGACCTACCTCACTACCGCTTCCTTCTCCACGCATTCACCACTGACCATATCCTGAATAATAGCCCCATCATCCCTAAAGACTTCTCCGCGCAACAACCCAAAACAATCCGCCTGTACCCCCTCTCCAACTACACATTCGGCACCAAGGAAACCCAACCGGAGGAGGACCCGTCCGTGCTGGCGCGTCTAAAACGTCTCGAGGAGCACTACGACCTACATGGCATGAGACGCACCTGCGAGGGCGTCCTCGTCTGCCACGAACACAACCATCCTCATGTGTTGATGCTGCAGATTGCCAACGCGTTTTTCAAGCTGTGCGTTCCTATACCATGTGGATTATGGAGCTTCGAGCTTCTTACTTACATTGTTTTTGGTCTCTAGTCCCGGTGACTACCTCAACTTCGAAGACGACGAAGTCGAGGGCTTCAAGAAACGGCTCAATGAGCGTCTCGCACCCGTCGGCTCGCAGTTCTCGGGAGAAGGCGTGAACGAAGACTGGGAGATTGGGGACACGTTGGCGCAATGGTGGAGGCCGAACTTTGAGACGTTCATGTACCCGTTTCTGCCGGGACATGTGACTCGGCCGAAGGAGTGCAAGAAGTTGTATTTCATTCAGTTGCCGAAGAAGAGTAAGCATTCTATCCCCCACATATGAATAGCAGTTCCGGGCGAGAAGGGAAGAATGGTCCGATTGACATGTGTTGTGCAGAGGTCCTTTCCGTCCCGAAGAACATGAAACTCCTCGCCGTCCCACTCTTCGAACTATACGACAACACGGCCCGGTATGGCCCGCAGCTCTCGGCCATCCCGCACTTGCTGTCGAGATACAACTTTGAGTTCGTCGATGAGAACGACAACGTGGTTGCCGCGACGCCGGGCACGCCCTTGCCGGATCATCAGATCCCCCGGACGAAGGTGCTGGCCGGGGACAGCGGTGACGGACAGGATGAGGGGATGACGGATTACCCATCTGGAGAGGGCGAGAATGGAGCTAGTGCGTAGTTGAGAGTATTGTCATGTCTTGAACTCAACCGGCATGAGCTGTTATTCCGATTATTCCCCGACGAAGGATGGCGGTGATGAGACAGTTCACCTGGCCGGATTGGATCGGACCCCTGCTGATCAGCTCGGGCATTTTTCCTTTTCCGTGGGTTGCTTCTCTAATTTTGTTTTTGTTTTGTTTTTTCTTCCATGCTATGCAAAAGACGTGATGTGAGTCTGGTTGGCGTTCCAGGAGCGAAGATTGATTGTTTCATTCTATCACATTATCATTTCCCTTGTTGTTCTTGAATTAGCTATGCAGGTAGCGGTCAATATATCCTTTGAGCAGATACCAGTGTTGCCATGTGCTGTAGAAGGTACATTCCCGATACTGGCAGTACATACTGCTACTAATGCTATATCACTGGTACATTAATCCCCGAGACCACAGAACCACAGAACCACAAAACAGACTAGATAGTAGCTACGGAGATATCGAGCACAGGCACATAACGGCACCTGCCCACGTACGCACACACCCACAGCTCCTCCTAACCACCTAATACTGTAGCCCCCGGTAGGCCAAGTACTCCACAGGTACCTATACATCCATCCCACACCATCACTTTGAACAACACTAACCACTTAGTAAATGCTAAGAGTAGATAACTAGTCACCTGCCACACCACCCCGACACTAACAAACCGCAGATCACAAGCCGGACTGATTTTGACCGATTGATTGAACCGCCAAAAAGTCTGAAGAATCCTTCAGTTCCAACCAACACACGCACACACACGGTATGGATTGGAAGGAAGGAAGGAAGGGAGGGAAGAAAGTGGGGTTACCCAAGCCAAACTAACAAACTCTGCAAGGTGGTTAACTAATAATAATAACACGAAGAAGAAGAAGGAGTGAAGGAGTCATCGACCTCCCGTCCCCTAACTAACTAACTAGTTAACTATACCCCGGGGTTATAGTACGGGATACTAAGGCATGCACCCCGCAGCCCGGGAAGCCCGGACGTTTGTTGTTGGTGGTGGACTACGGAGTACTAGTAGGGGACTCGTAAGGCAGCGGGACTAATTAACTAACTAGTTAGTTAGGCTGCCAAAGTAAGTACCTAGTGCTGTGTGGGTGGTGTAAGTGCCGGGATGAAGTGAGGAGATTACTTTTTAGGTGAGTAATACTTTCAGGTAGGTAATGGATTGACTTTAGTAGTTAGGTGCTACATGGTAGATGGTAGAGTTGGTTAGGTAATAGGAGATGTGTTTACTATAACTAGGTTATTGTTTGTATTACTATACTGAAACTGTGAGAGTTCTTGGGGAAGGCAAGGTAGTATTGGGGGCGGGAATAAGGGATGAGAGTATTGTTTCAATAGTGAGTTGAGGTATTTTTTTTTTCTTTTCTTTTTGTCAGGGTTAGTTACTTACTTCTTCGATAGTATGCTTGGTATTGATTATGGGCACGTGGACATGTTAAGTTTCTGTACATACGTAGATTTGTTTGTGTGCTTCTTCCCCATCTATAGTATGTATGTATCGTAGTCTGAATGAGTATAAGCGCTGCAAAGTGATCGGCAAAGTGACAAGAAGTCACTAACTCCACTAGTTACTTGCATGTCACGAACCACAACACTGACAGCAACAGCATGTGAAGAAGTCTCAGATTTCGTAACACTATTTCCCGTCTACTTGCTCTTCGATTTGGCCTACTTACCTCGGCCTGTGCACATGTCATGGCCCTATTCCCAATCTCCATCTCAATCTCAATCTATTGCTCATGTGCAGTACCACGCCCTCCACGTTTCTCCGCCAGTAGATCCCTTCGACACCGCCCATTCTCAGACAACATCTACTTTATTTAACTTTTCGGAGCAGACTATGCTTGTCTACGGGCTGCTATAGCAGCCCGTTAACCCCCACCGGGCTTCCGCTCCGGATGGAGCTGGGGCCAAACTGGCACTCCAGTTGCGCAACGGACAACCGCCGACCCGGAACAAAGGATGCGGGTGAGGAGATACGGTGCCTGATTGCATGGCTGGCTTCATCTGCTATCGTGATAGTGCTGTTGGGGTGAATATTGTTGTCTGACTTTACCCCGCTTCTTGCTTTTTTCCCCCCTGAGGCCCCTGATGGGGAATCGCGGTGGGTAATATGATATGGGTATAAAAGGGGGATCGGAGGTGCAGTTGGACAGAGGCAGTGTGTGTGCATTGCAGAAGCCCGTTGATCGCAAGGTTTTGGTCGCCTCGATTGTCTATATACTGCAAGATGTTCTCTGGACGGTTTGGAGTGCTTTTGACGGCGCTTGCTGCGCTGGGTGCTGCCGCGCCGGCACCGCTTGATGTGCGGAGTAGGTGTGCCCGATGTGAGATGGCTGGATGGCACTGATGAAGGGTGAATAGGTGTCTCGACTTCCACGTTGGATGAGTTGCAATTGTTCGCGCAATGGTCTGCCGCAGCTTATTGCTCGAATAATATCGACTCGGACGACTCCAATTTGACATGCACGGCCAACGCCTGTCCATCAGTCGAGGAGGCAAGTACCAAGATGCTGCTGGAGTTCGACCTGTATGTCACTCAGATCGCAGACATAGAGCACAGCTAATTGAACAGGACGAACGACTTTGGAGGCACTGCCGGTTTCCTAGCCGCGGACAACACCAACAAGCGGCTCGTGGTCGCCTTTCGGGGAAGCAGCACGATTGAGAATTGGGTCGCTAATCTTGACTTCATCCTGGAAGATAACGACGACCTCTGTACCGGCTGCAAGGTCCATACCGGTTTCTGGAAGGCGTGGGAGTCCGCTGCCGACGAACTGACGAGCAAGATCAAGTCCGCGATGAGCACGTATTCGGGCTATACCCTATACTTCACCGGGCACAGTTTGGGCGGCGCATTGGCTACGCTGGGAGCGACAGTTTTGCGAAATGACGGGTACAGCGTTCAGCTGGTGAGTTCTTCACAAAGGTGATGGAGCGATAAACGGTTCTGACAATCAATAGTACACCTATGGATGTCCTCGAATCGGAAACTATGCGCTGGCCGAGCATATCACCAGTCAGGGATCTGGGGCCAACTTCCGTGTTACACACTTGAACGACATCGTCCCCCGAGTGCCACCCATGGACTTTGGATTCAGTCAGCCAAGTCCGGAATACTGGATCACCAGTGGCACTGGAGCCAGTGTCACGGCGTCGGATATTGAAGTCATCGAGGGAATCAATTCAACGGCGGGAAATGCAGGCGAAGCAACGGTGAGCGTTTTGGCTCACTTGTGGTACTTTTTCGCGATTTCAGAGTGCCTGCTATAGCTGGACCAGCTGTCAAATTAGTGACGAGAGAAGTGTACATAGTAATTAGTATATTATCAGAGCAACCAAGTGGTGGTGTGGTGAAAGAGAAACAGAGTGAGATCTTATTACGTAGCAGATAAGCACGTGTGGAGGCGCTGTTCCTCCACTTCCAGTTGCGGCCATCAATCATCTTTCTTCTCCTTACATTCGTCCACCACATCTCCCATCCTGCCAGCTGTCGCATCCCCGGGTTTCAACAACGATCGCCTCCGGGGCCTCCGTGGTTCTCCTATATTATTCCATCCGACGGCCGACGTTTCACCCTACACAAAATCTCCCCGAGTCGGTCAACTCGTTCGAACCGCCGCCCGCATCGACCTCACCGACCCCCGACCGTCTGCGATCGTCCATCCGTGCAGCCATGTTCCCTGCCCCGTCACGCTGATTTGACGCTCAATTGACTTCCGTGATATACATACATACATCCAGCAGCATATGATTATAGTCCCCCCGCCTCGTGCCAGTCCCGCCGCCGCCATTGCCAGCCATGCTATTCTTCCGCGGCGGAGTTAACAGTCCGCGCCGGCGCAACCAAGAAAAAGCAATCTTCTGCACCATTCTCATCATCTACGCTCTGTACTTCCTCTTCTTCGCTGGGAGCTCCGATCCGAAACGCTCAGAGACGTCTGCTGAGGATGCGGTGAAGGGAGGCCCGCATCGGGACTCGCGGTCGGGGAAGGCTTCCCCGTCCGCCTCGGCTTCGCGACAGCCTCAGACCTTGGACAAGGACATGGTGGTGGCTAGTATGAAGGGAGACGATGTCTCATGGCTGTACACATACTTTCCTGAGTGGCATAAAAGCATCTACGTGGCGGACGACAAGAAAGCGCCGTTGACGGTGGCTTTGAATAAGGGGAGGGAATCGATGGTGTATCTGACGTGAGTCTCCGTGTCTTGGCCGGTTCTGGGCGCACCAACTCACTGCTGCAGATATATAATTGATAATTACGACAATCTTCCCGACTCGATTCTTTTCATCCATTCCCAACGATACCAATGGCACAACGATGACCCCTACTACGATGGTGTGCCCGTTCTTCGCAACTTCCAGGTCCCATATCTCCAAAAACAAGGCTACGTGAATCTGCGCTGCGCCTGGGTCCTGGGCTGTCCGGCGGAGATTCATCCCCTCAGTGATACGCATCGCAACGACGTCCACGCAGGAGAGTACTTTAAGACAGGATTTATGGAACTGTTCCCCGGGGCGGAGGTCCCTGAAGAAGTGGGGGTTTCATGTTGCGCGCAATTCGCCGTCACACGCTGGAAGATCCGCGAGCGGCCGAAGAGTGACTATGTGCGGTACCGCAAATGGTTGGCTGAGACGACGTTACCCGATGATCTCAGTGGACGGATCATGGAATACTCATGGCACAGTATGTTCCAATTCTTATTATAGCGCTAAGCAAAACTGACCAACTTGTACAGTGATCTTCGGCAAGGGCCCCGTCTACTGTCCCACGGCAGAAGAATGCTACTGCAAGGTATTCGGACTATGCAATTTAGATTGTCCGACGGAGGGAGACTGCGCTGGCCGCTATGTTCTCCCGCCATACTCTTCTCTTCCCAAGGGATGGCCCTATATCGGCTGGAAGGGTCAGAAGCAGGACCCTAGCAAGGGACTCCCGGAGGCTTGATCTATACCTATCGTCTCACAAGTCAGATGAGATGTTCGAGTATAAGATGTTGCGACTCGGGGTATACACTGCTCACTGAGATCAAAACCGGGACTCACTACAAGCATGATGAATGCTGTAATAGGATCAGAGCGGCAGCACATCTGGCAAAACAGGTGGAGCATCAACGTCGCGTATCTCTCTCTCCCAGTGGAACCAGATCTCAACTCTCCCACCGCTGCCAGACACAGTTTGGTACTCCCAAAACAGGCATATGGCATATAACTAACCTACTATGTATTGGCATCTTTGATGAGCGAACGCTGTCACTGAAAAAAAACTACCGATGTATTATAACAACACTATTTCCATTCCATGTGAAGTAATAACTACCTGCCAAAAATATACTACTCCATCTCTCAGATCTCAGATTACATCTTACCATTACTACCTTCAAAAAGGAACAAGTAGCCATGCACTCTGCCTACTTCGGATAGGCCCAGAATTGCGCCTCAGGATGGCTATTTATTGCCTCAGGCACCATAATGATTAGCTTAATGCCTCAGGCCCTCATCCTCCAGGCTACACCCACCTACCTTGGAAGTTCAACAGTAACAGATGCATACTCTAACAAGACATATAAGACATAACATCAGACGAACCGAATGTCAACGTCAGCAATCGTGTTATCTAAATACACACTATTACTTATCATTACCATTACTTTTCTTCCAATAGTATCTGAGCAGTATTCAGGCAAGACCTAGGAGAAGCTGACCAGAATCGAATGTACGTCTACGACTTAGGACCACCACTCTAACAAAAGAAAAGAACTTTTAACTAATTACTACCTCGGCTCACGAGTAACAGTGACCTCGACATTCTTCTTGATGATCATCTTCGTACTCTCCGAACTAGCCACGCTATCCCCATCCGTTCGACTACTACCATCGTACGCAGTAGCGTTGAAACTGCCGGCGGATTGTTCCGGCACAAACGTCGGCTGCGAGTGTCGTGAGTTGTTCAAGCCGTGACCGGCCTCCTCCTGGTTATCCATCGACTGCAGAACATAGCTATGTGATTGTTTCGACACATCCCGGGCGTAATTTCCTGACTTGGATCTAGCGCTGCTGGTGCCGAGGGTGACTTCGCCTGCGTTTCCGTAGGTGACGCTGATGGCGCGCATGAAGGGGGCGAGACAGAAGGAGGTGCATACGATGAGGGAGTAGTTCATGCCCATTTGGGTCCAGACGTAGCTGTCGATGATGTCTAGGGTTGGGTTCGTGGAGTAGGCATAGTTCTTGAGATGGTATAGATGTAGAGAGGTGAATATAATGAGACTATTGTAGATATCGGGTTAGGTGTGTGATGTTTGTGGGTAGTGGGGACTGCGTACGGTAAACGAACGGCGAAAGAAGAGAGGACGATGACTTTTCGGGATGTTGGCATTTGCAGGCTTTTGACGAGAAGGATCGAGAATAGGAAGAGCATGAGCTCAATGATGCTGTCCATCGCACCGATGTATTCCCATTTTTGGAACTGGTGAGGTGCGGTTAGTGTAATTGCAAGGATATGGAGCGAGAGGATTCATACTAATCCAGTGCAGTGGTCAATGGGTCTTGCCCAGGGTTTGTTCAATTCGCAGTTCACAAGGATGATCAGGACTGAAGAGAGAACCCAACAGATACTTAACCCCAGTATCGCGGAAAGAATAAAATGGTGAATGCGCTGGGGAGTCAACCGCGAGAGCATGCCAAGCACACAGCACTTGGACAGAAAGACGGTGATCAAGAACAAAGTATCTGTAGCAGCTGTTGTCTGCATGGCCATAATTCCTGATTAATTTGTGCCCCTGTTTAGATTCTGACAACGTACCCGCTGAACGTTCACCACCTGATCCGAAGAAAGAAGTCTTATAGATGTCCCGAATCCTTTGGCAGAGTTTGACATGACGAGTGAGGTCTGAATTATGGCAAAAGCCTATCCATAACGCAGTGGTTAGTATCAATTTCATAAAGGTATCACAGGAGACAACGTTGGAACTTACCGTAGCAACAAACAATAGATAATCATCACGGCCAAACCCCGGGCTCAGTATTGTTCTGACATACACACGGATAGCTAAGCAGATCAATGTCATTATCAGGGCCAAAGTCCCAACAACAATGACAATGCCGGCATGGTGACTCTCGTTAATGACCACAAGGGGCTTCCCAGATGCTGTCATGACCGGGAGCCACCCAGAGGCTCAGCAAGCGACCGTGAGTCACTTATCGTCCAGTGCCTTTTGGGAAATCAAGAGATCAGGTCAAGATCCCCTAATGCAGGGCCTCCAAAATATAAATACCGGTAGATAAACTGGCCTGTATGCAGGCTTTAGGTATGTTCCGAAACGAACGCCATATTGCCATCTCTTCCGGCTCAAGACTATGGTGGCCTGGTCAGATAGGTTATCAGAATCTGACTCCAATGTGCGAGTCATTGAGACCTATCATTGGCCAAAGTGATAGTACAAAAGGCTCAGCTAGAGCGCCTGGAAGGATTTATGGTCCAGCCTCATATAATGGCCAGTTGAGAGAAACGAACGATGCTTGTTCATTACGGCTGATGTTCGGAATCCAAAGTCCCCGTAGCGTTGCGAGTAGCCAAACCCAACCCTGTACAAATAAAAGTTAATAACGGAGAAGGAAGCACTTGCAGGGATCATAGTACCCCTAGAGTTTAGTATGATTGTAACACGCAATCATGTCGCATCCGTCTCGAACCGTGGCAGACTAGCTAACCCTTAGCTTGACTAGACTGCCACTATCCGTGCTAGTGTTTATACCGAGTATTCTTTCGAAGAAGCTGAACATGATTTTATTATAATCAGTGCAACTGAAAGGTGGTGGCCTCGCGGATATGACAGCTCAAAGATCACTAACAAGCTTGCTGCCTGGCTTCATAAACGTAGTGCTCATTGGCGTGATACCAAACAGGAGCGGGCATCCTTCCGGATCCACAAGGAACGCTCCGGGGAATGTGTCCGCAGCGGCGTTCCCGTTGATCGTCGGGGGACTTGCCCGGATCAGTTAGGGTTCGTGAGAGAAGCGCTGGTAAGCTCCCGGTGCTGTTCCGGTGGGCCGCGGCGGGATCATCTGGCGAACAAGATCCGGCCGGGCCGTCGCCGACATATATGAAATAGAGATTAGGATCCAGAAGTAATCAAAACCTGTCATTTGAGATTCGTAGTATTACCAGCGGTTGAATCAAACCATACGGTAGAAAGAAAACTTTTCGATTTCAATCCCACTGTGGGCAGAAGTCAGGAAGGAATAGCATCCTGGTCATCCTCCATACTAATCGCCAATAAACATAGTTCGGGCTCCATTACGCCGGCGAAGAATGCGCAGGCACTTGCGACACTGATGCAGGCGATAGGCCGGTGGGGTAGAGACCGCGAACGTCGACCTGTTACTGCGCCAGCATCATCAAAACGGAAAGAGGTGGCGTGTTCATGCAGCAGCAATAACGACTCCAACCAACGAACGGCCAAATCAGATTTCGCGCTTGACCAGGGCCACGGGCGGCACATAAGTTTTCCGCCCGTACAACGCATAGTAGATGATGGAAAAAATCAACATGCCACCATACATGAGTGAGCTCCAGTTCATGTTCTCGGGATCCACAGTCGAGTAAAGGGGGAACATAACGAAAACGAACTCCGGGATGAGGAAAGCCAGGGCCCCGAGGTTTACCCAAAGTCCCCATCGGCCCAGTGACCACCGATGTGGGGGTAATGGTTCCCCACGAATTCTTTTCCATGCGACACACGAAACAGTGACGATGTAGGAATTCAACAATGCTCCGACAGTGAGGGTGATCAAGGCATCCAGGGCGACAGTCGAGCCGATGTTGATGAGTGATAGCAGCATCGTAAGCACGAGGGACACCAGAACAGCGTTGAGGGGGATGTTCCAGTTTGGATTGACCTGTTGCCCATCAGTACTTAGTATATTAAAGCTGAAACTAACAAGAAGTGGGAATTCTTACATGACCGAAAAAGCTAGCCAGTGGGACGCCCCCATCACGGGCGAATGACCAAAGTTGACGGGACGCAGTAGCAACCTCCGTAATAACACTGGCAATAAGCGACATGGTCACAATTGCAGTCATTGCGTTTGTAGCTGCGTAGCTCTTGGTGGCGTTGAAGAAAACCTGAATGAAAGGGTAACCAGTAGCGGAGTCTAGAACCTCATTCACGTCACCCAACGTGAAACACAAAGTGACCATAACGACAAAGGCTAAGACCCCGTTCAAGGAGCACGCCGCCATGATAGCTTTGGGAAGGGTCGTGGAAGCGTCTCGAACTTCCTCGGCTGTGTACTGTATTAGCATGTCTGAATGATCGAGCCAGAGCCTTTACTTACACATGTGGACAGTACAGTCATAGCCAATCATGGCAGTAATAGCAGTGATTAGACCAACCATCGTTGCGGTACCATTGCTATTCCAATCACCACCGTTTGTAAACTGGGTGAAAACTGATTTTGCGTCCTTGATGGGTGCCAGAACCCAGAGGGGTATAATCACAATGAAGAATCCGGCAACGTGGAGGATCAAGATGAAGGCTTCAACGAGAGGGAGCTTCTTGGCGAGGAAGGTGTTAAAGAGGACAGAGAAAAGGGTGATGGCGATTGTAATGAGGGTACCGTGCCACCGCTCAGAGACATAATCTGGGTAGTTAAGGATAACCAGTCCTTGGATGATGGTACCTGCTAGGAAAGCAATTGACACAATTGCGCATTCCCAGCCCGTGGCACAGAGCCATCCTAGATGCGACCGGGCTTGTTAGGCTCAGCCATCCTCAGCGGGTAGCTATACATACCAGTGATATAACTCAAGAACTTCTGGTACTTCCTCGGTGCAAACTCTGATACCCAGTGATACTGGCCACCAGCAGTGGGTGCCCTATGAAACGATCAGCTGGTGTACAGTTTCATGATGAAGTGCGTGCACTCACATGGAAGCCATCTCCGCCA